CCCAGGCCTGGGTCAGTCCATATGAGAATCTCCACATGTTACCTCCCTACGGGTAGGGTGTGGCCTCCGTAGCGCCCTTCTCTGGAAGGCTCGCTCCCCCATCGTTCTGCATAAGCTGTAACAACAAATCGGAAAGACTTGAAGCAAATCTTTCATTGAAGGTCGAAATCCCTTCCGTTAAGAAATTTCTGTGGGGAAAGGAACAGCGGCTTGGCTATCTTCAGCGGCGATGTGTTCACCTGTGGTCCCTGCGGGTACCAAGGTCAGCGAATTTGCGCTGGGGCGGTGGGAAGGTTACGACCTTTGCGTAGCGTTTGTCTGACAAGCGCCGCTTGCCAACATTTGCTACGTCATGGGGTTGTGACGGGGTTCAGTTTGTGGCGCTTTCCAGGGCCCCATAATGTCGTCACGACATAACTCGTAGTGACCGACAGATAGGGAAGGTCTCGGTTACGTACGTAACCCTCGTTCCCTGATGGAGGGAACGGAGATGTTATGTCCCCTTGCCACAACCTCGAACCATCGCTGGTGTCCAGGGACAAGTTCTCGGGCTCCTCAGCGTAAAACCTGAAGAGTGGATGCACCTGTCGCCTATTTATACCCGCTAAGAGCACATGGCACTAATGAAATCTTGATTAAAAGACTTTTAAATAACACAAAGTGTGATCAATGAAAAAAATCTGTTTTCCTTTTGATACTGTGGTAACAGATTTGACGCTTTATAAAATAACTCTTGGTGTAAGAACTTTTTAGATTAAAATATTTTCTTAGAAAGAGCACATAGACTTTTCAGTGCTTCAGATCTTAACAGTGATGGAAAGTGGCATCGTATCCTGTATCTTACATAGTTGTGGGAGATAATTCCACAAATTTAAAGGCAAATTTATTTTTTTTAAATAATGTTGTAGAATTAGGTAAATTACTCTTTAGGGCTTTTATAAATAAAATGAATGAAATATTACAAAAAGAAAAGTACAATAAAATATTTTGATTACACAATGATACATGATGGAAAAAATGCACGGACTAATTCGGACAACAAGAAATCATGATTTTCAGCTATTTAAGACACTTTTTGCAAAAAAATTATTTTGTTACGGACTGTAACATCTTGTAATTCATAACAATGAGTAACACAGTATTAAATTTGTTATCGGACTGTAACATCTTGTATTCATAACAATGAGTAACACAGTATTAAAATAATAAAAAATATAACCATTTGAAAAAAGCTGAAAAAAAAAGAATGACTTCGGACATCAAATGTACCTGCAATTATAGAATCACTCATATGCTGTGAGTTTGAATTGCTTAACATCCATCTGGGAAAACAGTGTGCATTATCTCTCTAGATTTGTAATGTAAATCATTTATAAATCCTGTGCAAACACAGGAGAATACATCAACATGTTTCTATCCCTGATAGCACAGGTACATCTCGGAGACGTTGATTTGACGTCTGC